AAAAAACAAAATATGACCTGATAACTTTCACTCTTCGAGTTCTTGCAAAGTAAATCTAACAAATCCAGTTTCACTTTCATATAACGAGCTTTTGAATCAGTTTTCTTCTTTCAGCGTCACATTTCTGGCAGTGCACTAAAACATGGTGTTATCTTCTCTACTGCAGTCACATTTTCTTGTGTGGTGTTTTCCTTTTAAAAATAACGTGCTATTCAAACCAGTGTGCCCAAATCTGCCTCTCTCCTGTTCCTTCCTGTGCTTCTCATTTCTTCTGTTTTCTTTTGGATTTTGTAAAACCATCACCTTTTCCTCTCTTCCTCCCATTGCTTTTGACACCTTTCTTCCATTTTCTGTCATATTCTACTCTTAATCTCTGTCCGACTGACATAGATGACCAGATCCACTGAAATTCTCTTTGTAGCTTCCTTTGCTGTCCTATCTGCCATTCTGTTTCCTTTAACTCCACGATGCACTGGTACCCATGAGAACGTGACCATAAGCCCCATCATATTGACTTTGTGTTTGCTGAATCAGAATGCCGGATCTGCTGTCTGAGTGACTGTCTTGCAAACTTCTGTCTTCAATCCACTGGACAGCCAACAGTATTGAAACCATTTCTCCCGTGTATACTGATGAGAGAGATAAGATAAGATAAAACTTTATTAATCCCTCGGGTGGGTTCCTCTGGGAAATTCGGTAATGATCCATCACTGATCCTTTTCCTTACTTTGAGACAAAACTCAAGAACAATAAATGCTGTCCCACTTTGGTTGGCTGTCTTCCTTGATGCATCTGTGTACATTTTGACATAATTGTAATACCGACCAATGTATTCCTGTGCTGTATGTGAATTTAAAATAAAACCCCTATCCTTGTTCTTTTTGTCCAATAGTGTGAAGTTTACTACAGCATCCATGGTGGTCTTGTAGGTAACGGTGCTGTTTCACTGATGCTGATCTTGTCCAGATTAAGTTCAGGTGCTTTCTGACTCAGTGTCGACTCAAAGCTCTTCATTTCTCTTTTTCCCAGCAGGATTGAAAAACAGTTTTTGTTGGATGATGTCCTTAGAGACTTGTCCAGTAGTTCAGTGTTAGCCGCTCTCTTCTGATTTCTAGTGGCATTTCTCCCGTCTACCTGTACTGGTGCTGTTGGGGTTATTTTAAATGCACCTGTGCAGACTCATGAAGACTTGCTCCGGCAGCAGAATTATATGCTATACACCCATAATCCAATACTGATATAATTAACCCAGTATCAACACTACATTATTCTGCAGATGTTTGATGTTAAA